TTTTATGGAGAGTATATATGTGAGGTCAAGTGAAATGGGGTTTAAATCTGGTTCCAAATTATTTCACTAACATGGCGACGTGCATGTGTGTGAGGGTGTTGCTGCGTGTACTAGCAAGGGGCCGGTTTTATAGTGCTAGCCCACTGAGATAACATGACTACCGCATTCGGACGCAGAATACTGACTCCGAGCCAACCAGTCATTGTTCTGTCCTCTCAACGACGAGCACCAGGCACCGACCTTCTGCTCTATCCACTACATCACGGAGGCAATTTAGTTATGTATGGAATCTGTCGAGACAGCAAGATAACATTTGTACCTAGATACTTAGACTGTACAGGTGGTTGGTTGACAGGTCACGTGTGTTAGTTGATCATATGAAAAACTGGAACAGATCTCATCAGTATGCGACGCTGTTATGCTTCTCAAAATATTTTTTGTTGGTTTCTCGTGACCCACCAGCCGTAAATTCATGCTTCCCTGTCTATCAGAGTAAAATTAAGAAAATCGGTAATAATTACCGACGTATTTGTTAGAAGGCTGCATTATTAGATAAGAAAGTCGTAGAGTGAGTGAGTTGTGTTTAACGCCGCGTTTAACAGTATTCAAGTTATATTACGGCGTGTCAGCTTAATGTGGGAGGAAAGCCTGAAGTAGGTCTCAGACGTTAACCACTTCGGTGAAACCAACGAGCACGGGTACAGTACTGACAAACCTAGAAACATAATCGGGGCGAACCGGGATTCGAACCCACAATCATAGGTTTCTGGCGTGCCCAAGTGACGCAACCCAAGTGACGAATTGCGGCGCCTTAGAGAACTGGGCCATCCGTACCCTCCAGAAAGTCGTAGAAATGTGAACACAATGAAATATTTTAGGATATAAAGCCATCAGCATCGGAACACCATGTCGTTCACAGTCGTGAAAAAACAATCTTATCCGAGCGACGACACCTTTCCAAAACTGCATCCAGAAGAAAACGGTGAACAACAATAATTTAACCCCACATTTCCAAATGTTCTATGTCTATTTCAAATTATTTGTCCTATTAATGTGATTCATTTGATGACAGGCAAGTCCAAGTATCGATTTGTGGTATTTATTGCCAACATGCATTCTGCCCGGCCAAGTCTTGTGTTTTCAATAAAGGTAAACGTGTGAAGGTAGTTTGACAAGGGATTTGCCTCCAAGCGATCCCACTGTTCTTTTCAATTCCCACCCACTGTATTTAGTATATATGTCTTACGATTTCTTTCAGATTACACTAAGCCATGTCCCCACAATAAACATGCTGCGGGCCCGTGGTTGGTTTGTTTGTTGTTTTACGCCGCACTCAGCAATATTCCAGCAATATGACGGAGTTCTGTAAATAATCGAGTCTGGACCAAACAATCCAGTGATTGACATCATGAGCATCGATCCACGCAATTGGGATCGATGACATGCTTCAACCAAGTCAACGAGCCTGACCGCCCGATCCTTTTACTCGCCTCTTACGACAAGCATAGTCTCCTTTTACGGCAACATGGGTTGCTGAAGACCTATTCTACCCCGGATCTTCACCGGTCGCAGGCCCATGGTGAATTTAGAAATGAAAAGCTTACAATCGCCACCAGATCTACACCTTGTACAGGAATATAGAAATGAACGTTTATGTCATTCATCAAAGTTAACATTCTCGTGAATAAAGAATTGTAATACAATCCTTGTCAGTCAAAGTTTTGTAGATATGTTAGTTATTCTATTTTTCTGACACATTAGAAATCTTGCCTGCTCGCCGCCTTCTCCCTATGTCCGCCATTTCTCGCGAGCATTACGTTCCAGAAATAGTGGCAATTCATCATTTATTGGCACTTTTTCTCGGAAACGAACGAAGTGTTTCCATTGCCGGTGCTTTCCCGTCCACAAGCATTCGTCACCACTCACATGTTGCCGTAACCTACATTCATCTTAGTCCGGAATGGGACGAGTTGGTCACGAATGCTTCGAGAGGGGCGCGAGTACACATTCGGCTTTGCCCGGAATCGGGCGAGTTGGTCACGAATGTTCCACAAGAAGATATACGCGTATCCCTTACAAATGGCTTTGTTTGCAAGGGATTATGGTTTTCTGATCTATCTTTTTTGTTTTCACTTCGAGTAACGAAATTCCTCACATAATATGAATGTTAATGAGACCAGTTTTTTGTCATTTCACGACGATAGACAGGAATGCCTGAAATTGCCTTGACTCCTTGTATTTCTTTACAATGTTAAATATTTCTTTTCTATTCAAATTTCGATTTTGCACCGGATATCGAGTTTTTACACATACCATTTACATACCGAGGTCGTCATTACCTCGAACCCGTCTCATACTAAAATGGACCTGCCCCTAATATTTTTTATCTTTAAGCACTGTCATGAAACGCCTTTTCAACTCAATTCTTTTTAAAACCGGATTCTAACTTTTGTACCTCGAGTCACAGGTACCTTTAGAATCAACTTAACTTTTTTTTGTGTCATTTGTTACCTACTAAAGAAAGAAAATAAAGAAATAACATTCCCTCTTTCTCCACAGTAAGTTGTGAAAAGTCCTTGAGAAACAATAATTTAATTATATCTCTTAAAGTCTCCGTACAGTGAGCTCAAAGTGGACGCAAAAACATGCTTAAGATCTGATTGGCTAGATATACTTTTTGTAGATTTATTTGGGATAAAAATTGTGAGTCAAAGTTCAAGGTAACTGTAGAAAAATTGACGGCGACTGTAATCGACACCTCAGTTACTAATGTTGCTTCCAAGTCTATCAGCTATCTTCTGGTTTCAATTATGACCATACACGGGGATCTCCTGTCACGTCATATAATGTTTTGGGAGTTGGTGATGTTTCTCCGCGCGACCCGTATTTCCGGGTTCAAAAGGGCTTGATGACATCGAAGTTTACATGGCTTCTGGTGTTGTGTCTTACAAACTTTCATATCAGTCTACACCACCGCTGAAATATGACTTTACGAACGTTATAAAAAAACAGGTATCCCCTAAAATAGGTCTTTGCAACCAGTATTACCTGTTACGTTTGTGGTGAGTCTCCCAAAGTCTGTGGTGAGTCTCCCAAATAGTAACCTATCATGCCTGCATAAACATTTACTGTTCAATATTAGCTATTCCTGGGATTCGAACTCATAATTTACATTGTATTTTCTTACTGATTCCATCGAGTTCTGCCCCTCGAGCCTCATTATAAGAACACAAGGTATACTTTTTGAAGTCTTATTTCTAAGAAATTATGATTTGAAGTGTGTAAACAAAATGTGTTTTTTGTGGGTTTTTTTCCAAATGATGGTTCAACTGAAATATCGGTCGATTGCATAAATCGCGGTACTAGAAAATCTAATCGTCTTTTAACGTATTAGGAAAACCTGGCTGCATGTTGAATCAAGTATACTGAACAAAAAAGGTTAGGGACCATGAATATTTTTGGTGGATATTTTTTATCGTAAGACTGAGCACACAATGTCACAAACATATCCACAAAATATTCATGATCCCTAACACTTTTTTGTTAAGTTTATATATTTGTGCTCGACAATTCACGTTTAGTGAATTTATTTTCCTTTTCGATTATGCCCTTGTACCAATCGAATTAAAAAACAGGTAATATAAACTTAATATAACGTAACATAACCGTGATTACGGGCTTTTATTTTCCCACTGCAAATACAATGTCGGTGTTTACCGAGAGAAACAAGGGAGTTAACTGACTTTAAAAGTCCAGTTTCCCCTGGACTTTTCAAGTCCGTTAACTCCCCTGACTCGGGAAGATGTGGTCCCATGTCATAAAGGAATATGATCCTAAAAGAAAATATTATATGTACCCCCGAAAACAAGAAACCATATGACCCAAATGACCCAGTTATCATCTGCCAGTATTTTTGGGAGAGGATATATGGCACTATCTTGATAAATGAAATCTTCCGATGTTTGAGATCCTGGTTGTAAAAATAATAAGATAAAGGTTAAAATGGAAAACTACTATTTAGGAGAAAATAAGAACTTGTTTTATTTTCAGTGCACATTTACCATTACCATGTCGTCTCATTATATAAAAAATGCCCTGGATTTGAAAAGTTCCCATTTAATTAAACCGTCATGATTTCTCTAAAAGAAAACTAACAGAAGCAGTCCACATTCGCCGCCACAAGCCATCAATCAACAGAGATAAAGGCTATTTCATCCCATCCGTCTCACATGAACTCATTAAGCAATAATCACTACACCTACACAAAACTTATCCTCTTTACTTGGCTTCATGTCCGATTGGCTTCCACCTATGTGTTCTCTGTCCATCATGTTGTGACCGTATTATCCTTCTGTTGTCAACACTGACTCATGTTATCCCACTCATGTTAGTCTGTCTTACAGAACCTGATACAAATATATATCAAATACAGCCCATGCAAGTCTATAATGTTTGGCAAGTCTAGCTCACTGCAGTATCTGAAAATGAAGAGAGTCACTGGGCTCTTTTTTATTATATTTTTATTAAGATAACTGAACAACTGTTTTTTATGTACGATATGTTCATTTCAGAGACTAGATGTTAGTCTACACTCATGTATGCAATTGTTGTTACTGTTAATCCTCCACCTACAATAATATTCTGTACAATGTCCCTCATTCAGTTTTGCGTGACAACGGTATAGGGATCTATACCGAAACGTCGCCTTTACAGTATTAAAGAAGTTTTTATCCATAGATTGTGTCTACTTTGTCACCCGTCAACTTCTAAGTAATGCCTATCAAACAATAAATAGAAATGGTGTTGTTTGAAGCGTACGTATATAATCCCTAGCCCGTGAAAGACACACCAGATGTTCTACTCCACGCTTTAGCACACATTTACTTCCCATGTCCAATATCCGTGAATACATACTGACAGTGTAAATGGACATAATTTATGAATTGTTCACATGTACCTAACATCGCAAAATATGTAAATGCATATCTGAATGTACCTACCTGCTGAAAGTAGGTCAAGTAAGGAAAGCTAACTCTTATGAAGGGGCGGACAACTCTCAGCTCATTTCCGGAATAGTGGTCTGCTTTGAAAATGGTGAACTCTAGCATCATTCCGACTTTTCTTGTCAGTTGGGTTCAACTTATTGTACCACAGCCATGCTTCGACAAATTCTTCATCGACTTTGACTTTTTTGATGGTACGTTTCTCATTCTAAACGAATGGTGTCACATCTTCCCTGTGTAATGCGTCGACGCCACGGAACACATTTCAACGTGTCAATCAGCACCCATTGAATCAGAATGTTCAAAGTGCACATAGCACGCTATTCATGACTAGAAACCATGTTATTACTTTAAATATAGTTTGACAATATCCCGGTTAGACTTTTCACGTATGAAACCGCATTTTGTGATGTACGTTTTGCAAATGACATCGAGAACAAGCCATGGATATTTATTATTTCTTACTCTGAGCCTTGTTAATTGTTCTGTTAGGCATACAAGCAGATTATAAGACACAATACGCTCACAAAAGAACAGGTGTTATTACTAATCGTATTTGATTCGTCAAATAGTAAAGGGGCTGAGAGGCAGAATGGGTGAATTATAGAATCGGCTTACACATGCCTCTTCGATCTGTAGGGTTAGTTGTATATAGTTGTGTTATGGTAAGGATAGTCTGTCATACAGACCCTGAAACAAATAGGCCTATATCCAATACAACCCATGCAAGTCTAGAATATTTGGCAAGTCTAGATTACTGGGGTATCTGAAGTTGAAGAAAGTCCCTTGGCTGCTTTTTGTTATATTTTATAACTAATTTAACAACTGTTCCTGTAAAATGTATTCATTTTAGAGACTAGATGTTAGTCTAGGGTTAGGGTAGGTTACCCCACAAATCTAGCCTAAGCCAAAGACATATTTGAGTCTCTGCCTAAGCAACTGGCTCCTTGATGAAAAAAATAAGTGTCAAAGATATTCTGTGGGTCTTCAGCAGAATTAGTGTTCACTCCATGAGATTTTAATAAAATCCTCCATGTGTGATACATAGAGAACAGGCCCGTGGAGATCTGGGGTAGAATAGGTCTTCAGCAACCCATGCTTGCAGTAAAAGGCGACTGTGCTTGTCGTGAGAGGCGACTAACGGGATCGGGTGGTCAGGCTCACTGACTTGGTTGATGCCTGTCATTGTATCCCAATTGTGTGGATCGATGCTCATGATGTCAAACACTGGATTGTCTGGTTCTGACGTGATTATATACAGACCGCTGGAATATTGCTGGGTGTTGCATTAAACAACAAACATAACAAAATACACAAAGAACAAGTTGTTCCAAAAGGTATCTGATGAGTGAAAGTGGGATAGATACGTTTTGAAACAAGTTTTAAGATAAATGGTATCTGACAGGCACGAGTGCGGTAATCTGATTTTTGCATCTAATTGCTGCATATTTTGTGTATTCTCATGATCACAGTGAGTGAGTGAGTGAGGTTTTATGCTGCTTTTAGCAATATTCAAGCAATATCACAGCGGGGGACACCAGAAATGGGCTTCACACATTGTACCCACGTCGGGAATCGAACCCGGGTCTTCGGCGTGACAAGCGAAGGCTTTAACCACTAGGCTACCCGGCCACCCCGCATGATCACAGTGGCGCATTAATATACAGCGTTAGAAACTGGCGCTACTTCTTTCGTCCTTGCCATACTGCCCAATAGATATAGTATCAAAAGGACCAGTAGACATTGGCTCTTTTTAAGGGTTTTGCTATATGTTATCATTATAAGGATTTGTGTACTAAATCTGTTAGTTTCTATCACTGATTAATACATAACACAACAGTCATTTGTGATGTCTTCCGGTCTAGTGCTTACGACCCATACCTAGTGTGACCCTACACAAACATAGTTTCTGCCATATCTGTGGATTATCAAGGCGATGATGATAATGCAAACTAGACAAGACCAAACAATATTTATCAATATTCTAATACCAGAAAGTTCCTACACAGATGTATGTGAATTCGTCACGAATGGTATTGCATTGATTTGCTGTTGTGGTTTATCCACCACTTTTGTTGATTTTACTTATTGACCTTTGCCACTGACTTATTACATTTCTGGGGTCCACGTGATTGACCTATACACAGCTTTTTGTGTCATAATCACTGAGTACCTCCCCCTGCAGCCTGGGACGTGCCTTCTGTTGACAGGGGGGTATGTAGGAGGGCGTGGAGTCATCCCACCGATGACATACTTGCCTTTTCAGATTACTGACGGGGTTAATCTCTTTGGTCATGTGACCATGTGCACGTCATGGTGCAAACAGAAAGAATCCGGTGAAAAAATAATTGTGTTGAAAAGTCGTTTCCTGACAGTGCTTAAAGATCGAAAACAATTGGGGCAAGGGCAATTTAGGTGACAAGCCATGATTATATGGAGTATATAAATAAAAATACTTTTAGAATGTCAATTTAAGATGTTCTCTCAATCAGTAATTATTATTGATGTTAAATTATTATTGGTTACCAAGTTAATTTTTCAAAACAAATCTGAAATAACAAATGGTTCTGATCAATTCCTAACATGATATGCCTTTCTGTCTCTTTTCCAGCAACCTGTTTGAAGATTGTTGTAAGTAAAGGTCTGGGGTTTGCCATCATCGTTGGATCATTAATAGGTGAGACATTCTACTTGGATGTACAGGGATTCATCTTGGTCTGCTAGGCCCAGAGGAAACTTGGCACTAAATATCGGGGTCACTGGGGGACCACAGCACCAACAGCAAATAAAATACAGAGTGTGTGTGATGCCTAATGTGTATTGTAGATGGAGAGTCCCTTGTTTGAATCATAACATGATGTTTAAAGCGGCGTCAAAATAAACTCACTCTTGTCACTGCCCCAATAGGAATTCAGGATCACACATACTGTACAGATTCCTCCCTGCTGAAGTCAATCAGTTCATTGCTGGGCAATAGTCTTAACGATGTACGCAATAGGGCTGGGACGAGTCTGAATTTACTCCCCGGGTACCCGATACCCTATCACCCGACACTACCCGGGTCCCCAATGTAGGTCTTAAGTTGGATACAAAATGTCCAAATGAGAATTGCCCTGGCAAAAACTATTTAGATACACTCATAAAATGATCTGATTATGCATACACTGAAGGTGACAGAAGCTGTATCGGTAATCAAACATATAAAAGTCAGAAGGAATGCGAACATTTAGTGACTTGTGTAACCATGGAGTTTGACTGTTATGGTAATTACACAATATATCACGTGATTAACCATTGGTCCTGGTAGTCCTGTGGGTACCCAAGTACAGGTACGGGTACTCAGTACCCACCTGAGTACCCAAGTTACCCGTCCCAGCCCTACTGAGTACCCAAGTTACCCGTCCCAGCCCTACTGAGTACCCAAGTTACCCGTCCCAGCCCTACTGAGTACCCAAGTTACCCGTCCCAGCCCTACTGAGTACCCAAGATACCCGTCCCAGCCCTACTGAGTACCCAAGTTACCCGTCCTAGCACTACTGAGTACCCAAGTTACCCGTCCCAGCCCTACTGAGTACCCAAGTTACCCGTCCCAGCCCTACTGAGAACCAAAGGTACCTGTCCCAGCCCTACTGAGTACCCAAGTTACCCGTCCTAGCACTACTGAGTACCCTAGTTACCCGTCCCAGCCCTACTGGGTACCCAAGGTACCCGTCCCAGCCCTACTGAGAACCAAAGGTACCTGTCCCAGCCCTACTGAGTACCCAAGTTACCCGTCCCAGCCCTACTGAGTACCCAAGTTACCCGTCCCAGCCCTACTGAGTACCCAAGTTACCCGTCCTAGCCCTACTGAGTACCCAAGATACCCGTCCCAGCCCTACTGAGTACCCAAGTTACCCGTCCCAGCCCTTCTGAGTACCCAAGTTATCCGTCCCAGCCCTATTGAGTACCCAAGTGAACCATGCCAGCCCTACTGAGTACCCAAGGTACCCATCCAAGCCCTACTGAGTACCCAAGTTACCCGTCCCAGCCCTACTGAGTACCCAAGTTACCCGTCCCAGCACTACTGAGTACCCAAGTTACCCGTCCCAGCCCTACTGAGTACCCAAGATACCCGTCCCAGCCCTACTGAGTACTCAAGTTACCCGTCCCAGCCCTACTGAGTACCCAAGTTATCCGTCCCAGCCCTACTGAGTACCCAAGTGAACCATGCCAGCCCTACTGAGTACCCAAGGTACCCATCCAAGCCCTACTGAGTACCCAAGTTACCCGTCCCAGCCCTACTGAGTACCCAAGTTACCCGTCCCAGCCCTACTGAGTACCCAAGTTACCCGTCCCAGCCCTACTGAGAACCCAAGTTACCCGTCCCAGCCCTACTGAGTACCCAAGTTACCCATCCCAGCCCTACTGAGTACCTAGATACCCGTCCCAGCCCTACTGAGTACCCAAGTAACCCGTCCCAGCCCTACTGGGTCCCCAAGTTACCCGTCCCAGCCCTACTGAGTACCCAAGTTACCCATCCCAGCCCTACTGAAAACCCAAGGTACCTGTCCCAACCTTACTGAGTACCCAAGTTACCCGTCCTAGCCCTACTGAGAACCCAAGGTACCCGTCCCAGCCCTACTGAGTACCCAAGTTACCCGTCCCAGCTCTACTAAGAACCCAAGCTACACGTCCCAGCCCTACTGAGTACCCAAGTAACCCGTCCCAGCCCTACTGGGTCCCCAAGTTACCCGTCCCAGCCCTACTGAGTACCCAAGTTACCTGTCCCAGCTCTACTGAGAACCCAAGGTACCTGTCCCAGCCCTACTGAGTACACAGGTTACCCGTCCCAGCCCTACTGTCTCACTACTTTGTACATATATTGGTTTCATGATTATATTTTTGTTTTTTTAAGGGTTCAGGTCGGTTCATTTTCAGATTAAATGCCATTGAAAATGTCCATAGAATCTTTTTCAAATTAGGTATATCATGATAGAGAGGAATTTCCTATCACATGTTAATGTAATCATGGATATGTCCCCATGCCATTTGTCTCCACAAGATTCACATCTTCCCGAGGCCAGAGAGTTAACTGACTTTAAAAGTCCAGTTTCCACCCTTGCCAAACTAGGCTGGAATTACTTGGCTCGATCATAGCGCCACCAGTGGCTATTACGAGTTATGTCCTTTCTATGCCTCTCCTATTGACCAATCAGATTCAACCTCTCGTATCACTTGCATTTGCTTCAAACAAAACGGTTGCGCCCAGTCAAGACGATCTGATTGATAATCAAGATCAAAATTGTGATAAAGCGAGTCTTACATCGTGAAGTGCATCAAATCACATGAGCACCTTGATTAAAAGCATGAAAAGATTTAGAAAATATCTGTTGACAACGAGTTAGCGGTGCACATGCTTTGCAAATCCTGCAGTCGACCGAAATCTGCACGACACTTTACGAACCGGATTTCGATTTCGGTGCACGATTTTGATTGGACTATGCATAGACTCGTTAGTCCAGCCAAAATGTAACTCCATAATACCAGCCTAGTTCGGCAAGGGTGGAAACTGGACTTTTATAGTCAGTTAACTCACTTGCCTCGGGAAGATGCAAGATTCACTGATAGAATATACCGTATAGTGCACACCCAAGTATAATGCGCATCCCCCTCTAGCGGATACAGTATTTTGGAAACATTCTCTTTTTGAATATTATGCGCAGAAAAAAATTACGCCGTACCCCTTCAGTGAATTCCGGTAAAGGAACGGGTGATAAGAAACTTGGTCAGTACAATTTTGAAATTTGAGATAAAGAATCACCAGACAAGTTGATTTACCGTTTAAATTGTTTTTTTTGTTCTGCTAGGCATTGTTTTACATCCAGGGATTAAGATTACCATGTGTATTTTCTCGTAAAATAGCAGTCAGGTGTACATACGTGTTCTTGGAATCTACCGATGATTCGGTTGAAACTTACCCAATGATATAACTTTACAGGATTTTGATGATCGGGAAAAATTGTATCTGAAACAATTTTTTTATCAGGAATAATATATTCCAACATCTTGTTATTTTAGTTGCAGCTTTTACTAAATATATTTAAAAGAATAATAACCCTAAGCGTAGCTGTGTTTGTTATCTGCAGTGATATGTGGCGAGGTATAAACTCATATCGATCATGTACAGTCGAACCTCTTTGTCTTGAACTCCACTATCTCGAATGTTCCGATATCTCGACCCTATTCTCGGGTCCTGACTGCCTCGCTGTTTCTTGATCTGTGTGGATGTTCATGTCTTGTCTTGATTCGACCAATATCTCGAAAGCACCAACACCATCCCACTAGGTTCAAGATAAAGGGGTTTGACTGTATATCAGACTCGGAATGATTCATCAGAAATATTCATTGATGTGTGATTCCCATTTTAACCTAATTTAATATCCCTCCATTGTCCCTCACACATTGGTTTCTGTTCAAAGACCACATTGTTTCAAATCAGATGGTTGGAGGGGCGGTCGGGTAGCCTAGTGGTTAAAGCATTCGCTTGTCACGCCGAAGACCCGGGTTTGATTCCTGACATGGGTACAATATGTGAAGCCCAATTCTGTAGTCCCGCGCCGTGATATAGATGGAATATTGCTAAAAGCGGCGTAAAACTATAATTTTCACTCACTCACTCATATGGTTGACAGATTTTTTCCCCAAACCTTTGTGCCAATGGTGGTAATGAACAAAGTGTTTTATTTTTATCCCTGTATAAGCAGCGCATCTGCAAAAAATTTAAATATGCGCCCCAAGAAATCACCATTACCCAATTACCGTATTTGACGTAATAAGCGCCCACGGCGATATTTGCTAATATATTGGCTAGTGAACAAGCCCAATTAGCATCCCTTCCGATTGGTCAATGTACACAAGACTTATTCGCGTATAATACGCACTAGTGTGTTATTTGCACCCTTTATTATGGGCAATTAAATTCTGGAAAAATATATCGTACACAAACATTTCAGGCTGTCAGCATAAACCACAAAAAGAGCTCCCTATTCCCCCCACATACTGTAGTATTACCATGATAACAACGCTGTCCATCCTTACTGAATGTAATTTCAGGTGCTTACTGTATTTTAGTCGAAGGATGGTATCACATGCACGATCTCATGTGCAGTAGACCCGTGAAGATCCGGGGTAGAATAGGTCTTCAGCAACCCATGCTTGTCGTAAGAGGCGACTATGCAACTAATGGGATCAGGTGGTCAGGCTCGCTGACTTGGTTGATGCATGTCATCGCATCCCAATTGCGTAGATCAATGCTCATGATATTAATCACTGGATTGTCTGGTCCAGGCTAGATTATTTACAGACCACCCGTCATATACCTGTAATATTGCTGAGTGCGGCGTTAAACAACAAACAAACAACTACTTTGGGGTTTTCTCATATTCCAAGCTGTGATAGAACTCACTCACTCACTCACTCACTCACTCACTCACTCACGAAGTTTCAAAGTTCAACCCATTATTCTTAGTCACATTTGAATCACTTGTTTGTAGATAAATTGAAATAATGGTGCCTTTAAGATAGAAGTAAGAGAAAACATGATATTCTAGGTGTAAAATAAATCTTCATCTTTTCAGTCAAGGTGCCTCAGGTGGTGAAGATTCTGGGCGCCCGGAGTGGGGAGGGCATCAACCTGTATGCCATCACATGTGAGATAGTCGCCATATCGTCAACCTGGGCGTACGGATATGCACTGAAATTTCCATTCAGGTAAATTATGAGATCAAGTGAATACATGCATAGGTTTCTCGTCATGTAAATCATTGATTTCCATTTGGGTAGGGTGGCGGTGGCGTAGCCTAGTGGTTAAAGCGTTTGCTCGTCACGCCGAAGACCCGGGTTTCGATTTCCCACATGGGTACAATGTGTGAAGCCCATTTCTAATGTCCCCTTCCATGATATAGCTGGAATATGGCTAAAAGCAGCGTAAAACCATGCTCACTCACTCACTCACTCACTTGCATAAGTTTATTGCATTGACAGTTCAAGTGACTGTGTGCCACAACCCGATTAGTAAAAAATAACTTTTGTTATGTATATGAAATTTTTTATCGAGAAAACCTGTGGCGTTTGGCATTCGGATGAAATGAATAGCACATCCATAAAATATTTTGTTTGATAAATATTTATTGTAAAAAACCTTTGAAGATGGTCTTTCTCTGTGTTCTGCTTATGAAGGGAGTTTTGTTGTCATGAAAACATATTCCGTTTTCCATTGAATGACATCGAATCATGTTGCTCAGGTATTTTAGTCAGAGTGAGTGAGTGAGTGAGTATGGTTTAACGCCGCTTTTAGCAATATTCCAGCAATATCACGGCGGGGGACACCAGAAATGGGCTTCACACATTGTACCCATGTCGGGAATCGAACCCGGGTCTTCAGCGTGACGAGTGAACGCTTTAACCACTAGGCTACCCGACCGCCCCTATTTTAGTCAGAAAAGCACCAGAATGTTTTTTAACGATTTCAATAAGCTTTATTAGTTTTTAGATTTGCAGTTATTATTGAGTATTTGTTGCATGGAATATTTCACTTTTGAAACTTCCAGTCTGGGCTGTTCCTAACAAAACGTCAAAATCATTGCAAAAACATCCCATAATGTTCTGACAGCCATTATGTTATAGGTTGATATGTGGGCTGTTGACGTATTCATACACTTGGTTTATGTGTGAAAAGGCTTAAGTAAGAGGTGGAAATTTGAAACCTCATTTTAACCAAACAGAATAAAACATTCTTCAATGTCATGGTTGAACACTCAATAACACCCCATATCTGGGTAACCTCCCAATTGTCAGACATCCCATTTGTCAGACAGCTTCAACCAGGATTAGTCAAGTCTGGTTACTGTTACTGTAAGTCAAGCAATAGTTACCTGTTTACCTTCATTAAAGTGGAACAGTCCAGAAAACACACATTTGGAGGAATGTACAGGATAGGTTTATTATGTACTTTTAATCATCAAATCATACCAGAAATAACACTTTTTGAAGTATTCATTACATTATCACAAGACCCGTGAAGATCCGGGGTAGAATAGGTCTTCAGCAACCCATGCTTGCTGTAAAAGGTGACTATGTTTGTCGTAAAAGGCGACTAACGGGATCGGGTGGTCAGGCTCGCTGACTTGGTTGATGCATGTCATTGATCCCAATTGCATTGATCGATGCTCATGACATCAATCACTGGATTGTCTGGTCCAGACTCGATTATTTACAGACCGCCGTCATATAGCTGGAATACTGCTGAGTGCGGCGTTGAACAACAAACCAACCAACCAACCAACCAACCAACATTATCACAAAAGCCAATAACTTCTCAAGTGTGTGGTCTGGCCTCTGGTTCGATTCTTAGAGTAAGTGATCCCATCAAGGAATACTTGTGGGGTTCCTCTCCGAGACTCTATGTACTCTACTCAGGTTATGGAGAAGTTTACTCTATTTAATGTGTTCTTATTCTACCTAACATTGTATTTAACCTTGTTTCTTAATGTTCACTGAGTTTCCAACATTCTATATCATTGGAAAAACTTCCCTAAATCTTTGCTAATAAACACACGCAACCCCGACACAGATCATGTCTAAAAACGTAATGTTTATGTCCTTGATCATGTTGATGTCAATTGACTGTTAGCCATCCTCCTGAGGCAAGGGAGGTAACCGACCATAAAAGTACAGTTTCCACCCTTGCCGAACTAGGCTGGAATTATGGAGTTACATTTTGCGCTCCGAAATCGAAATCCGGTACGTAAAGTGTCATGCAGATTTCGATTGATCACAGGATTTGCAAAGCATGTGCACCGCTAACTCGTTGTCAACATATATTTTGTAAATCTTTTCATGTTTTTTATCAAGGTGCACACATGATTTGATGCACTTCACGATGTAAGACTCGTTTTATCACAATATATAGCTCTTGATTATCGATCAAATCGTCTTGACTGGGCGATGCAGTTTTGTTTGAAGCAAATGCAATTGATACGAGAGGTGGAATGTAATTGGTCCATAGGAGAGGCATAGAAGGGACATAACTCGTAATAGCCACTGGTGGCGCTACAATCGAGCCCAGGAATTCCAGCATTGTTCGGCAAGGGTGGAAACTGGACTTTTAAAGTCAGTTAACACTCTCGCCTCGGGAAGATGACTGTTAGCTGAATTCAACAGATTATTATTATGTGAACAACACAGTTCTAACACTATCTTCCCTACCTTCAAGATGTTTCCATGCCATCAAAATACAGAACCTAGCAAGAGTTGCAAATTTATCATGATATATGCAAGTGATTGATCATTGAAATGAAACCTCTCACATTATTTCCACCTGTTGTTACCATAGTCATGATAGTAACAGATGTACATTTGGATGATATTGATAGCAAGGTAAAACAGCAATATTCCCAATATTAATATTTTGTCTTATTTGTTCAGTCAGCCATACAGCTGTATAATGAACAATCCTGTTCATCATATTAATGGACGTCCTAACTTGATGCTATCTCCTCCAGCTGTTTCAAGATAGCTTTCAAATCTGAGAGTATTAATGATTTCTGGTCCTCTCAAAGTAAATAAAAGTAATTTGTCATGTTTATAGTAAACTATAAGATAGCTAGTCGATAAATGAAGAATGAAGCGTGGTTTATTTTATGATAAATCATTGTGTCAATGTCAATTCTGCAGATTCAAACTCGCAACTTGATGATATCATAATTTGGAAGATGTTATTTTTTAGAAGGAAGTGTCTTGTGAGTTGTTCCCCATAGATGTAGCTGGGCAACGTAGATAGCCGCAATGGCCGAACAATCGCTACCATAAGAGGGAGATATATGACAATCAGTATTGGGAGAAAAGGTACAGATAATTGATGTGAAAATTGTGAGAATGTGCTCAAAAAGACCAAATTTATCATTCATCATTAGACATTGCTGCGGGCGATTTCTATTCAAGGGGGTCATCATTAATTAAATAAGGGTAATATTTTATGAAGCGTCTTCTCTTTGCTAACATCCTTAAAGAGTGAGTAATATTGATATCTCATTATCATATAAGAAATAAATGACTCGTGGTCATTGTTTATCGTACAATAAAACACTTCAGGGAGAATATACCACTGGGGGGTGCACCCCTCATGGTTTATTCTCCCTGCCGTGTTTTATTGTACGATAAACCATGACTTGAGTTGTTTATTATCCCTAGCCCAACAAAGTTGGCGGAGGATATAGAAACGGGCTCCGTCCGTCCGTCCGTCCATCCGTCACGTTTCGTTTCCGGAGCATAACTCAGAAACCGTTTTTTCATCAAACTTTGCAGGTCTGTCAAGTACATGCTGGACTGGTGCCTTTTGCTATTTAGAAATTTTAGAAATTTTATTTTTTTACGTTTCCATGGCAACAAGATGAACTTATGTTCTGTGAGGGTAGAGTTCGTTTCCGGAGCATAACTAAAAAAACGTTCAATATTTTGTTTAGATTTAATTATGTCATAAATTCTGCAACAGGGGCGGGGGATATAGCCACGTGGCAAACTCTTGTTTCTTAACTACAGAGAGACAATGACTGTGTAGCACAGCAGCTAATTTCTGTTGCTGCATTCCATCACTTTCAAAAAGTCAGATGTTGACTGAGCTCCAAAGAAGCTGCGTATTTGTGTAAACTTCACAAGATATATTCATTCAGCATTTTTGTCACTATTTCTACAACTTGTCACCCAACATGACATGTTCATTTCCAAGAAGAAGACTTGTTGCCTTGATTTCCAAGAAATAATGTGTCATGTTGATTTCCATGAAATGACGTTGTTGAGTCAAAGCAGTGCAAACAGGTTTTGATGAAAATAATAATATTTCTATGGAGGGTTATGTTATCAATTCTTTTTAGAAACTATGTATTTTGTAACCATCATTTTGAATTAGTGAAGAATAAACGTAAATAGTCTTCAACTTGAGTAATAGTTGTCACATTTATCACTACCTGCGACCCCTATTAGGAACGTTCTAAGATTGCTGACCTATGTACCCATGTGTAAATACTCGTTCAAAAAGAGTACCAGTTTGAAACCATTCTGGCCGTCATGGTGGAATGGCAATACACCTCTTGTGTTTTGAAAATGGATTTAGTCCCACTGTAGATTACTTCTTATTTATAATTTGAAATTTATTAATTAAATTTTAAACAAGAGGTGTCTAAGCTTCAGTGGGACTACATCAAATTAAAAAACCCGGTAGGTTTAATGAGATTGTGTATTGTGACTATTGTCTGGCTCAGACTGGATTATTTACAGGCCATGTGGCTGGAATATTGCTGAGTGTGGTATTAAACAACATACAAACAAACAAACATGGGTGAGGAAAGCCACCATTACAATTTCTATGTGTCTCCTGATTGAATGTGACCCGTGAAGATTCCGGGGTAGAATAGGTCTTCAGCAACCCATGCTTGCCGTAAAAGGTGACTATGCTTGTCGTAAAAGGCGACTAACGGGATTGGGTGGTCAGGCTCGCTGACTTGTTTGATACATGTCATCGATCCCAATTGCGTGGATCGATGCTCATGATATCAATCAATGGATTGTCTGGTCTAGACTCGATTATTTACAGACCGCCGTCATATAGCTGGAATATTGTTGAGTGCGGCGTTAAACATCAAACCAACCAACCAACCTGATTAAATGTCCACATGCTTGGTAGTGTAAAGTATACTCAATGGCTCAATAACTTGCCTTGATCCTAGTTTTGATTTTTTAAATTGTTTTCAAAAAATAAAAATTGCTTGTGGTAATAGGTGACTAAATGGGTTGGTTGCTCAGCATGGCCTGGTTTCTTCCGTCCCATTGCACCCTGATGGCGTGGGACGTCGGTCATAATATCAATCATTTGATACAAGCTGGCATTGTTTAGATCAAATATTGCAGTTGTAAACATCAAACAAAGTATGTCTCTCCCCCGATCACATGTGCCATCCTGATTCTCAGATGCTGATGTTCTATCTGTTCCAGTGTGTCTCTCCCCCGATCACATGTGACATCCTGATTCTCAGATGCTGATGTTCCATCTGTTCCAGTGTGTCTCTCCCCCGATCACATGTGTGTCTCTCCCCCGATCACATGTGACATCCTGATTCTCAGATGCTGATGTTCCATCTGTTCCAGTGTGTCTCTCCCCCGATCACATGTGCCATCCTGATTCTCAGATGCTGATGTTCTATCTGTTCCAGTGTGTCTCTCCCCCGATCACATGTGACATCCTGATTCTCAGATGCTGATGTTCTATCTGTTCCAGTGTGTCTCTCCCCCGATCACATGTGCCATCCTGATTCTCAGATGCTGATGTTCCATCTGTTCCAGTGTGTCTCTCCCCCGATCACATGTGCCATCCTGATTCTCAGATGCTGATGTTCCATCTGTTCCAGTGTGTCTCTCCCCCGATCACATGTGACATCCTGATTCTCAGATGCTGATGTTCTATCTGTTCCAGTGTGTCTCTCCCCCGATCACATGTGTGTCTCTCCCCCGATCACATGTGACATCCTGATTCTCAGATGCTGATGTTCTATCTGTTCCAGTGTGTCTCTCCCCCGATCACATGTGCCATCCTGATTCTCAGATGCTGATGTTCTATCTGTTCCAGTGCCTATGGGGAGGCGGTGTTCCTGGGGTTCCAGACGGTGCTTATTGCCATGCTAGTACTATTCTACAGCGGCAATACACCAATGGCGATCATCTACGTCACAGTGTACTCCTTCAGCATGATGTTCCTCCTGTCTCCCATGGCGCCAATGTCGTTACTGTCGATGCTGCAAGCTGGCAACTCCCTTGTTATTGCCATTAGCAAGGTGATGATAGTTAACAGTTCATTATTTAAAGTAATATTGGGGGAAGTGAAAAACACATCACTGACAGAAAAGTGGATTCCATTGCTTTATTTGCCTGTTTACATTCCCCTGTCTGCCTGTTTACATTCCTTTACTTGCCTGTTTATATTCCACTGCCTGTTTTCATTTCTTTACTTGCCTGTTTACATTCCCCTGTCTGCCTTTTTACATTCCTTTACTTTCCTGTTTACATTCCCCTGTCTGCCTGTATACATTCCCCTGTCTGCCTGTTTACATTCCTTTACTTGCCTGTTTACATTCCCCTGTCTGCCTGTTTACATTCCTTTACTTGCCTGTTTACATTCCTTTACTTGCCTGTTTACATTCCTTTACTTGCCTGTTTACATTCCTTTACTTGCCTGTTTACATTCCCCTGCCTGCCTGTTTACATTCCTTTACTTGCCTGTTTACATTCCTTTATTTGCCTGTTTACATTCCTTTACTTGCCTGTTTACATTCCTTTACTTGCCTGTTTACATTCCTTTACTTGCCTGTTTACATTCCCCTGTCTGCCTGTTTACATTGCTTTATTTGCCTGTTTACATTCCTTTACTTGCCTGTTTACATTCCTTTACTTGCCTGTTTACATTCCTTTACTTGCCTGTTTACATTCCCCTGCCTGCCTGTTTACATTCCTTTACTTGCCTGTTTACATTCCCCTGTCTGCCTGTTTACATTCCTTTACTTGCCTGTTTACATTCCTTTACTTGCCTGTTTACATTCCTTTACTTGCCTGTTTACATTCCTTTACTTGCCTGTTTACATTCCCCTGCCTGCCTGTTTACATTCCTTTACTTGCCTGTTTACATTCCTTTATTTGCCTGTTTACATTCCTTTACTTGCCTGTTTACATTCCTTTACTTGCCTGTTTACATTCCTTTACTTGCCTGTTTACATTCCCCTGTCTGCCTGTTTACATTGCTTTATTTGCCTGTTTACATTCCTTTACTTGCCTGTTTACATTCCTTTACTTGCCTGTTTACATTCCTTTACTTGCCTGTTTACATTCCCCTGCCTGCCTGTTTACATTCCTTTACTTGCCTGTTTACATTCCTTTACTTGCCTGTTTACATTCCCCTGCCTGCCTGTTTACATTCCTTTACTTGCCTGTTTACATTCCCCTGCCTGCCTGTTTACATTCCTTTACTTGCCTGTTTACATTCCCCTGCCTGCCTGTTTAGATGCCTGTTTTTAACCTTTTTGAGGTTGAATGATCAGAAAACACATTCAGACTTTCACTTTCGTAATCTCATAAGCGATTTCTGATTGGTCGGATGAAAAGTTGTTCTACATGACCTGTAATGGGATGTCCTCAGATCTGTGCTTGGTGATAGTGAGCATTAAGATCTGATTTTTATGAGATTTTGGATTGTCTGAGTGTGGTATTGTGCAACATACAAGCAAACAAGCAAACATGGGTCAGGAAAACCACCATTCTACCATGAATTTGGAATTTACTCGATTCTGATTGGTCAATCAGAGGCTATTAAATCACAATAAATCCCCCCTGATTGAAACAGCTGGTTTGACGACCGCATCACCGCGGAAGCTGATATTCACAGAATAGTACTTTTTTCAGTCATTGTCGGTAGGCATATTTAAATAATTATATCTACAATTACAGGTTACAAAATGCACAGGTGCGGTTACTACAATATTCAAAGGATGTGTGGCAATGCATTTCGTGCAGAAAACACGACAGAAATCTACAAAGGGAATGTATTTACGTTTTGGAGACAACAAAGACCATGGAATTGTGGCGCTTTTCTACATACGACTGTGACGTCATATCTTTTGCATCACAATGAGCGATATGACGTCATAATGGTGACGTGCGATGTAGAGCAAAAGCCTTGCAAAGCTTGCTTTGTTTTCTTTAGGGATGCCCACCTCATGTTAGCTTACCAAGTTGTCGTGCTTATATGCTTTCAATGCCTGTCATATGTTCGAGTGAAGTATTACAGTGTAAACAAACTGCTTGAGTATATACAGCGCCATATTTTGTTCGGTGATTCCTTAATTCAGATCGATAACCCACTCAAAACACTGGACTCAACCCATGCCGCTTCACTCAGTATATTTGCTAACACCAAAGAGTTCGCGTTTTATTTAGTCATGGTAGAATGGAGATAAACATACTGTGTTTTCAATGTAATGCTAGGTTACCTGTAGATTTAACCACGCTAAATTTAACATTTAAAACCTCATGCTGCGCGTTCGGTTCCAAATTCAATTTAGCCCGGTTATATCTACAGGTAACGTAGCTCTACATTGAAAACACACTATGTTTATCTCCTAATTACACAACAATCAGCCATTCTATAATGAGCCCAGTGAAGATACTGGTTAGAAAAGGTTTTCAGCAACCCATGTTTGTCGTACGAGGCGACTAATGGGATCGGGTGGCCAGGCTCGCTGACTTGCTTAATGCATGTCATTGTATCCCCATTGCGTGGATTGATGCTCATGACATCAATCACTGTATTGTCTGATCCAGACTCGATTATTTACAGACCGCCGTCATGTAACTGGAATATTGCTGAGTGTGGCGTTAAACAAACAAACAAACAAACAAACATTTTACAATGGCCTCACATGTCCAAGATCCAGTGTACTTATAACGTGTACCTTTGTTGCAGATTATACAAGCGTCAGCGAACTATCGTAACAGCAGTACGGGGCAGTTGTCGCTTGTTACGGTCACCTTGCTGTTCCTGGGCGCGGTGGCTCGCATCTTTACCTCCATTCAAGAGACAGGGGATGCCCTGGTTATCTTCTCCTATGTTGTGTCCAGTCTATTTAACGGGATCATCTTAGCACAGATACTCTACTACTGGAATGCTAAACCCAAACAGAAGATGCAGTAGGGGACGTCCTAGACATCCAAGGAGTTGTATTTTGTCTGAAATTTAACACATTTTTTTCTAAGTTTAGGAAAGTAATATTTGGGCATGAGTACGATGATGTCAAAAGGCTGAAGAAATAACAAAGATATACAAATTTTCAAGGGTGATATGAGGTAAATTTCCTTAAGAATAACACTTGAAATAAAGCCGTGAAAAAAATAAGTGGTTTTAAACATACAGTCACCTATGGTTATAATGAACTCGCTTATAACGAACTGTATTTGCTGTAGTTATGCTGTATATGTGCTTATAACGAACTACGGTTATAACGAACTAAAATTAGAAGTCCCTTTGAGTTCGTTATAACCGAGGTTTACTGTATTTCTAGTTTGTCAGAGCATGTTTAATTAATTTTTTTGTCATTTCTTTTTTAGATTTGTGTTTTTTCTATAACACGAGAACTAAATTGGCCTGGCCTTACAAAATACCAACATTAAGTTTTGTTAGGTCACAGTGAATTTATGATGTTGATATTAATATCTATAGAAGCAGTCTACATATTTTTATAGAACTATTTTTATTATACTATAAGAAGTTTTAAACAGGTCGGGAGCACGGGTGGCCCAGTTGTTTAAGGCGCCGCGATTCTCTGTGCAGAGTTGCGTTCCTTGGGCACGCCAGAAACCTATGATTGTGGGTTCGAATCCCGGTTCGCCCCGATTATGTTTCAAGGTTTGTCAGCACCATACCCATGCTCGTGGGTTTCACCGAAGTGGTAAACGTCAGAGACCTGCATCACTTCGGGCTTTCCTCCCACATTAAGCTGACAGCCACGATATAACTGGAATAATGTTAAAAGCGGCGTTTAACCCAACTCATTCACTTAAACAGGTCTTAATTTGAGAAACTTTTCAACAGGGAGCCAGCACCATAGGCATGGTAAAGATGGATGATGGTTATGTTTTATTGTCTGAACATTTAATGTCACTGGTGTTTAATAGAGGTATTTGACTGAACAGTAGTCATGGCTGTCCGACACAACACTCCTGTAGAGCTGGCTGTGTTGAGTGTAGGCTTGGGTCATTGTGCTGAGAATTGTGCTGGCCATGTTAGACTTGGTTGATGCATGTCATTGATCCCAAGTGCGTGGATCGATGCTCATGATATCAATCACAGGATTGTCTGGTCCAGACTGGATTATTTACAGACCGCTGTCATATAGCTGGAATATTGCTGAGTGCAGCGTATAACAACATACCAACCAACCAATCTGGCCATGTTCGTGTAACTGTCAGCTTTAACAGGTATCAGATTGTCTGTGGGTAATACATTGATAAAAACATCAACATGAAACAGATGTTTAGTCAACATGGTCAATATGTAATGGTTTTGAATACTTTATTTTAGAATCTGTGCTTTTAATTTTGTGAATATCAGCACTTCCAAATTATGGATTTGACACTTTTAATTTCTTGCAACTGGTTAACTTACAGGGTATTGAGCTATCAAGGAATCATTCCGGAACATCTCCAAATTTGTAGGACCATGGTTTAGTGAAATATATCATGATTGTCTGTAATCAGTAACAAGATCTGTGTCTCCAAAATAGAAAAGTATTGATGTTTTTTTACGCTCACCAAAGAATAATGATGACCTCATTATGGAACTGATCACAAGAGTAAATATGTTCACTTGTCATCGGAATATGTGCTGGAACGGCAAGACACAAGCCATGTCCTTCTTGAGGGGGTAACTCTACCTCTGCTCTTAAATCAGCTTCATCTTTTACAACGAACATCCTCTGCTCAAGTAGGAGAATTTCTGTCCTTGGATTCATTTATTTAGTCAGAAGTTTTCCTGTTCAGAGTGTTCAGTAATCAGCGTGTACATGTGTGCAGTGCTCACAACTGCCAAGGGGACCAATGAACCCTGTTCTGTTTATTTTGTATCAGTATTCTTATGTGTTCACTCAGTCATCTGTGTGTACAGTACTCTGATGTGTAGTGACAATTAATCATCAGTATTTATATTCTTTATTGATTGAGAAAGACTTGCTCCATGACTGACTGACTGTTTAATGTTCTTGTGGGTGTGGCCAGAAGTTATTATGACAAAATGTTTTGCCTCAGATTTTACAAAAACAAAAACAAAAATCATCGTTGAAAAAGAATATAAAAACCTGAAATCTATCCCTCTCCGTACAGAGAAAAATACTTGTAGAAGCAGGGTTGACCGAAAATTATCCTCTTGCAAACTAGATTATGAGAAGCCCACTGACAGAATATTAAATGGTTACCCACCCAGGTGGAGTTGGGCTCACCAGTGTTGGAGGCCACCACTTGCAACAAGTCGGGCAAAGCAGTCTACTTGTACTTAAGAAAGGTGTACACTACGGTTGCTGTGTGACATCAAATGTTAACATTCCTAAACTTACCAAAAGAGGTTTGCCTGGTCCACAGTGGATTATTTGCAAGCTGTCATGATAAGTCTTGAACATTGCAGACTGCAGCAGCCATTCACATTCATGATGACAATACTCATCAATACATACATCTTCCCCAGGCAAGGGAGTTAACAGACTGTATAAGTACAGTACACCCTTGCCGAACTAGACAGGGATTTCTGGGTTCGATTGTAGCACTCTGTTGTTATTTTCTGCTTGGAGCAGTGAAGTTTGCTCCAAGAAAAAATGTATCATGTGAGAAATTTGAAGATGTCCCAGGCTAGATAAGTTTCATTATATCTGGGTACTGTTCTGAATAGACATGTCTTCTCATCTTCCCAAGGCGAAGGAGTTAACTGACTGTAAAAATCCAGGTTCGGCGAGTCATGTCCCTCCTATTGACCAATCAGATTCCATCTCTCATGTCACTTGCATTTGCTTCAAACAATATGGTGATGCCCAGTCAAGACGATCTGATCGATAATCAGAATCTGTATTTTGATAAAATGGGTCTCTCTTTGCAAAGTGCATCAAATCATGTGAGCACCTTGATTAAAAAGATGAAAATATTTGGAAAATATCGGTTGGTGGTACACATGCTTTGCAAATCCTGCAGTTGACCTGAATATGCACAGCGGTTTGCAAACTGGGTGTCGATTTCGTTACATGATTTTGATTGGACTATGCATAGACTCATTAGTCCAGCCAAAATATAAATCCATAATTACTGCCTAGTTCGGCAAGGATGGAAACTGGACTTTTATTGTCAGTTAACTCCCTTGCCTTAGGAAGCTGCAATACATATTGCTCTTTGAATACAAGCCCAAACCATCTGGAATACAACCAGTAAATATTATGTCTCATGAGCCATAATCATATTTTCTTGCTGTGAGATTGTGGGAGTGCATTTTCTTCTAGTTCTCTTGAAGAGAAATGAAGGGTCTGTGAGATGAGAGGTGTCCTGTCAAATTAAAAGATTTGATTTTAATAATGAAATTACTAAAACTTCCCCAAATGACGGGATAATATATTAACCCAGGTATAAAGACGGAATAGGGGGAAGTTTTGCTGAATTTCCTCAAAAAGAGGACCAGGGGGTTGTCTCCTTGTCTCGAGGATTCTCACAAATGACATGTTTTTTCAGGTTTTGATTGATTTCAATAAAGTCTTCAAATTTTGTTGGTGTTTTGTGGTGTGTTATCTTAGTCACTTTGACCTTATTGATTCATTAGAAATGTGAAATTGTGACAACCAATTTGTCATCATCAAAATGATTAGCATCATCGTGGTCAAGGTCTGAAGGGTCAAGATCATGTGTCATACCTTATAGTGTCCTTTTGGTGTGTGCGTGTGTGCGTGTGTGCGTGTGTACGTGTGTGCGCTTGCATGGTATTCTAGTACTAGTCCGGACTAAAGCTGATATTAAAGTGCTCGCCCACTACCATGCTGCAGTTTAAAATGAATACCCTACACAGTATAGCCACTCCAAGTCGACGAGTCCTTGTTTTAGCCCTTTAATGCGGAGTGTCAGACAGGGTACTCACAAGTACCATCTTTTAACGTCTTTTGGTATGACGCGGCTGGGGACTTGACGCTCTCTGGGCAGACGCTATTATCCATGAGAGGAGGTAATGATGCTGACGTGAGAAATTTTGTAGGACTCGCCTCTTATTGCAGAAAGTTTATCCGAAACTTTGCAGATATTGCTGCTCCCTTACATGAGTTGACCAAGACAAAGAATAAAGGGAAATCTTTCAAGTGGACAGAAGACTGTAATACAGCATTCAAGACACTGAAAGACATTCTGATGTCATCCCCAGTTGTCTTGAAGTCACCCAGACTTCAGTTGCCATTTGTTGTGTGTACAGATACGAGCGATAGAGGACTTGGGGCAGTGTTGGCTCAGCATGTTGATGGCAAAGAACATCCAGCATAAGCCACCCTGTATTACAGAAACTTATAGAAAAGAAAGGCTGATTGTTGTCAGAGACCATAAAACAAGATTTCAATGAAAAGGTTTATTCAAGAGAGCATAGAGAAAAACAGTACATCTGATTCTTCAACAATTTCTGCAAATCCAAAAAGTGAACCTCTTGTTTATGAAGTGTAGATAGTTTCTGAAATGAAAAAGTGTCTTTTATTCGTCACACAGTACAAAACATTACAAAAATATCATACCATTTAAATAAATATTTTTGTCATTCAATCTGGAGGGAAGCCTATAGAAGAAGCAATTTATATTGATGATATATGCATAATTTTTATACCATGTTGATTATTCAAATATAGCCAAAACAGTTTATAGTTTCCTCAATGTTGACATGATGTGTTTAATATCCCCCGCCCCAACGAAGTTGGCCGGGGGATATAGAAATGGGTTCTGTCTGTGTGTGTGTGTGTGTGTGTGCGTGTGTGCGTGTGTGCGTGTGTGTGTGTGTGTGTGTGTGTGTGTGTGTGTGTGTGTGTGCGTATGTGTGTGCGTGTGTGCGTCCCGAAATCATTTCCGGAGCATAAAGTAGAAACCGTTAAATATTTCTCTACGAAACTTTGCATGTCTATCAGACTCATGCTGACGTGGTGCCTTTTGCTATTAAGGAGTTTTATAAATTTTTATTTTTTACGTTTCCATTGCAACAAGTTGGACTTAGGTTCTATGAGGGTGCTGTTCATTTCCGGAGCGTAACTCAAAAACCGTTTAATAATTTCTTACAAAACTTTGCATGTTTACCGGACACATACTGAACTGGTGCCTTTTGCTATTTAGGAGTTTTATAATTTTTTATGTTTTACGTTTCCATGGCAACAAGTTGGACTTAGGTTCTATAAGGGTGGTGTTCGTTTCCAGAGCATAACTCAAAAACTGTTAAATCCTTTCTTACAAAACTTTGCATGTCTACTAGGCACATACTGAACTGGTGCCTTTTGCTATTGAGGAATTTTATAGATTTTTATTTTTTACTTTTTCATTGCAACAAGTTGGACTTAGGTTCTATAGGGTAGAGTTTGTTTCCGGAGCATAACTCTTAACCCATTCAATACTTTCCAACAAAAACTGTGCATGTTTACCAGACACATACTGGACTGGTGCCTCCTGCTATTTAGGAATTTTAGAAAATTTTATTTTTCACGTTTCCATGGCAATAAGTTGGACTTAGGTTCTACAGGGGTGGTGTTCGTTTCCAGAGTGTAACTCAAAAACCATTAAATAATTTCTTACAAAACTTTGCTTGTCTACCAGGCACATACTGAACTGGTGCCTTTTGATATATAGCACTTTAGAAATTTTTATTGT